TAAATAATTGGTAGTATTAGTGTTAAAGAATTGAACATATACTATCACCTTATTCATTCCAGCAAAAACATAATTCACTAACCTCTCCTGTCTTTCTACAACACGAATAGTTATATATAGTATTTTCATAAATACTAATTTGTTAGGATTATCCCTCAAAATTATTTCATGAAAGTGTTTCATATACCTTCGGAACCAATTGGTTAGAATTAATTAGGAAATATAATCAAGGTTGAATGAAATCTTTGTTAGTTATGATTTGAGGAATTCAGAAATTATTAAATTATTTGAAGAGGAACAAGTTTACGTTGAATATTACTGTCTCTTTAACAGAATTTATTAATAAATTTTAACTTACCGAAAAGCTGCATGCACCGAGATACGAAAAATCTTTTAATTAAAGACCCGTTTTTTTAAAAAGGAAGACATGTGACGTGATCATGTACATACACGTGTAACGTCGTTATACATACTTTTCCAACGATGCTTGTCTCCAGACCGTAAATCACTTAGTTACGAACGGTAAGAATCATTAGAGCAGTATCATCAGCGTAATCCGCGCTTGGATACGATCATCCTGATTTAGACACGCTGAAGCGTCGAGGATTCGCCCTCCATAATCATCGTACAACATTTCTTTTTCTGTCTCCGTGATAATTTGCTAATCAAATGAATAATTCACGTCGTTCGGAAATCCTTGAGATAAATCAATTTAATGTCGGCAGGGGAAATAACCTTCGATTTGCTTGCCTTTCAAGTGGGAGGAAGAAATAATTAAATTTGACGGACACGGCGATCTATTGAAGCCGAATTTCTAATAAAATTGGGTCATGGTTGAACTTTTTACTATCTGCAGTTTTCATAACTTTTTACGTGGTTCTTTGTATTGATTATGGAATAGAAACTGCGAACCGGTTAGGACGTTATATTTTATATAATTGAACATTATATTAAATATTGTGATTGATTGTTAGTTTCTTCCCTGCTTTTTTGAAATATCCAATATTTTCTGCTTTTGTAAATATAACATATGAGATATATTATTAGAAAAAGATTCATTGTTTGTTACACAAGTTATTCTAATAATTTTTATTAATGATATGATACATCTGTGTTAAAGAGTTTTGAACATTTATTGTTCATTCGGTTTTAAAATATATTGTTTCGTAATTATAGTTCTCTTTAAGGAATCTTGTTTAAAGAACTCAATATTTCAAAAATATAATATGAAGAAAGATTGAAGGAGACATTATTTGAGGAACTTTGTAATTTTCACAAAAACCACAACGAAGAATTGTTCTATTAAAATGTTTCCAATACACTAAATATTTTTAAAAACTTGCATAGAACTTTTTCATAATATCAAGTGAAGTTTTGTATAATTCTTTTTGTAGCTAACGTTAATGTAAAAAAATAAATATTATGACTACCCGTCGTTATATTCTGCTTACGCTTAACTAAGAAAATTCGAGTAACGAAACTAATTTGTAGCTTGAGCTACGTTTTAAAATTTCTCGTGTACTTTACCCATTTCAAATGACTGACATCTCAAATAACCATCACGTAAGAAACAAGTGTTCAACAGCTAAAATGTAACGAAAACTTTTATGCAATTTTGAAGAAATATAATCTGAAATAAGTTTCAGTTTTTTTATTCTGCAATTGTTGATATCTTCAAAGTATTAAATGAGTTTAAAAATAAATCATTTCACTTGAATACTATACTGAATACCTGAAGGAACCGAAAAAGGATCCACTGTTACACTTTTATAAAGATTACGTGTCAATCGCATTAAATGTACGGTAGTTCCAATGTTAAGCCGAATATCGTATAATGCGAACTCAAATTAACACTAAACATATCGCGAACAGTCAAATGAATGGTTTTAAAATTTGATTTAACATTGTCTGTTTTTCTTCGTTCACTTAACATTAAATAAATTTCTACATTATTTTATTAATCAATTTCTCAATTTTTGCCTTCCCTTCTCTTTCTATTTCCAATAAGAAATATTTATCGTCTAACTTGTTTACCTTTATTTTCTAACTAGTTATTTGACTGTCTACGGTAGGTGTAGGTATATACAAAGTGTCGGTACATTTAGTATTAATCGAAATCTACCAGTATTTTATTCTCAGAGTAACAGGTACTGTTAAAAATAGAATAGTCCATTAGCAATTGAAAATTATTTTTTCCCAGCATCGAGCACAAAAAAACGGTCGATGGCTGAGGAAATTTCGCCGGAACATGAAAAAAGAATGCTCAAATGGAAATTACTCAACGCTGACGACGAAAACACGGCGGAGATTTGAGGCGAGTGTAACTTCGTTTCCGGATCTGCGATTTATTAATCGGAATCCGTGCTCGTGCAGCTCGCTTCCGGGCTGCGCACAAGCGCGAAGAACGTTCCGCCGGAACGGCAGATAACTCGGGATAATAATTCAAGCACTCGTCCGCGTTGGATTTTCTTTCGTAACTAAATATTCTCCGAGGAAAAACACTGTCATAAATTATTACGCGTATCCGCGCCTGGCGGGATAGCTTTGGTAGAAAAATACAATCTTTCAGGATTACCTTCTCTGACACGGGGGTGAGACAGAGATTCTTCGGGGAGAAAAAGTCTTACCGGCTGTTTCATGAAATGTAAACGCTGCTTTCGTAAGCGAATTCGATACGATAATGGAAAAAAGCGAGCTCGTAAGAATTTTCGTTTCTTTTAACCCCACGCTGTAATTCCCATTGTATTTGTCTTATGTGAACTGTTTGTCTTTTTTCGTGAAGAATAAAATATGAAAAATATGTTAATAAAGTTTGTCATACATGTCTGAGGACTGATATAAAGTTTATATAATGATATATGAATTATTTTTATAAAATTGAATAAACTATATTGATTATTGGATTGTAAAGTTTATGCATCCACTGATCTCTTGAAATGCAATATATTGGAAAAATTTGATGAGCTTTAATCGGTTCTGCATTTTATTGGCGTCTAATGGAAATGTTAGTGAAGTACACGGAAACTATTATTCCTAGAAATTGATTACAGAAAATTATATCGTTTAAAAATAGCGTCATGCAATCTTCATGATGTATACGTTTTCATACACCATTGTGAAGATTACATAAAAGCTTGATGAGAAGATAATATCAGGTTTTAATCGAGCTAAATCAAGAGTATTTTTCATTAAAACTCAATGGAAAGCAAGAAGCTCCCAAGATAGTTGAATATAGCTGTGGCAAATAACAGACATTACATAACTAATTAAATGAAATAACAATACCATAATAAATTAAGTAACCTATGAATTCATAAAATCGTCATTAGTTGCCATAATTAGAAATTACAACATACTCCAACATTTCATTTCACTATTATTATCTTTATTGCTGTTGTGAACGTCATAAAAGGAATATTTCATTAAAATGTCACTTTAACATTTCACAGATTTAGTATAATAAACTTCACTACAACATTTATTATAATTTCATTATTATTAAAATATTACCATTTAACGTGTCAGTGTTGCACACTAATGCTGAAACTGGTTAAAAAAAATTTCACCCTGCAAAAACTGGTTGTATGCAAGTGGAACGAGGCTAGCAATGTTTATTTCGCTTAATGTCTCTGTTTTACGAGTTAGCGCAGTAAATTTTTACAAATTAAAGTACATACTCTTACAGTCGCAACAATTTTATGAACTACGATTTTCACAGATTTAAATAATTCTTCGAATACTGTTTTCTCAGAACCAATTTTTTTTACAGAACTGCTTCTCGCTATGCCCAACACCTCAATTATCGTTACAATTTAGGAAACATGAAATATTAGATTGTGTAATAAGTCTTTTCCCATTTTGCGTAAGAAAGTATAGTACTCCCAAATTCTTGTAGTATTTACCTAATCAATGAGATATCTATTATTCTGTTCAGTCACCTATTAGTTATTCTTTTGGATAACTTATGTAACCCTTTAATGTAGAACTCTTCAGAGTCTTTATTAAAAAGTTCAGATACACTAACCCACGAAAATATTTAGAATATGGAGGAAACTATTAACATAATAAAATCATTCTTCCTCAGATGTATATCGTTCGATTTCAATGAAAGTTATATACGTAATTCACATATGCACCCAATATATCATACATACAAAAGTACCAAAATATCTATCATCTTGCAGATTCTGTGACCATTTCCATTCTATATCATATTTTAAATACTTTCGTAAATCAGTATATGTACCAATTTTCTTGTTATCAAAATAAGTTTACCAGGAAAAACTTAGATACTTTTCAAAGTATTAATACTGAAACGACGATTTAACACGATTAATATATAATTCTTATAAAAATATAACAATAATTTTTTTTCCATTTCTTGATATATTAATTATAGTATTGAAGTAAAAATATTTACTTTCTGATCGTTTCGGTTGTTTAACACTTTTAAGATAAGAAGAAATAATATCAAAATATATATAAAAGTTACCACAAACTTGAATGTAAATTAATATTTTATTTAAAAAATCAGTGTACTTCATAAGCAAGATAAACCGAAACTTCCGATGGCATAGAATGTGCTAATAAAATGAGAAAACTGAAACCCGTGATTTTTACGGTTGCAGTTGTTCCAGGGTTAACTTATGAATTTACTTCCGCGTTTCAATGATTTCTCTCAGCATATCTTCAAAACAAAAAACAATTGAATACAGAACAAAAGACAGCATCAGTTCCAAGCACTCATTCTGATTCTAAACCAGGTGTCTGATTGTACTCACGTTCCATCGACATTATATAATCATAGTCTATATATTATCAGCCTATCGTATCAGTGTAATTACATCCCGAGACGTTCGTTGCGGGTTGCGCAACAGTGACGACGATGCCGGCGATTACGCCCGACTCTTTTTACTCGCGATGTGATCACCGAGCAGCGCGAAACGAACTGGCGCGTCGGTGCACGGATAGATTTCGGGCGAAAATCGAGCAACGATTCGGTTCCGTTCTACCGAGAACCAATGAAGAATGAAAATTCGTTGCTGCTCCATTGCGGGCTTGTTCCGGTTCGTTGCGGCTCGCAATGGAAACCAAGGAAGGGTCGGTCCGAAGATGAAAAAAAGGCGAAACGCGGCTGCAGGAAAGAAAAGTAAGGAATTTATCGAGAAACGGGTAACATTCTTGCGACGAAATAAACATAGAGCAGAAATTTTGCGGTTTCGAACAGTGCAGTGATCATTCCAGCATGAAAATTTGCTGATAATTTCTCTGAAATGGGTCCTAATTAGAAATAAGTGAGTTTTCCTGAAATAAGAAGGGATGCAACATTGGAGACTTTAAAAAATTGACTGTATTTAGCTTTTTCTTGTGTTTGCAATTATTTGGGAAAAGATTGAGGATTTTATATGAGACGTTAAGTAACATTTGGATTATATTCTCATATTTTTCTTATTTCTAATAGAATACAAGATTCTTATGTCAAAATCAACGGAAATAAATTAGCTTCATAGTAGGATAGAATTTTTTAATAATTTCGGAAAAAGCCCAGAGGCGGTAGTTTGTTTAAGATAGCTCTTTACTTTGTGCAGAGGCAGTTAATTTTAGATATTTATCAAAATTCAACAAATGGTGACATAAAAGAAGTTGTATGCTGCTTTGAAGATAATCTGCAATGATACTGGATTAAATCTGTGCGATCATATAGATAGAAGTAACAATATAATAAGTGACTTTTTGTTTGGATTATCTGTCGACATGGAGGACGAGTGGAGAGATTAAATAGTGCTTCAGTAGATAATAAAAAATGTATAAGAAATAAATGTACACGGTGTTGTAATTAATTCATTAAAATGTTTTACTGAAGCGAGTGACGAAGGAGTTAAGGTGGAATGTGTGAAATAACTTTGTGATATAATGGGAAGTATAATATTAATGAATGACTGCGCGATTGTGTTACCTGTGACGAAAAAGGAATTTATCTGTTGAATGCCCGTGTACAGAGAATGAAGAAAAAGTACATGCAGAAATCAGACAAGGGGTACGAAATGTAAAAAATAATTAAGCTAACAGATGATTATTCTTGTTTTTCAATTTAAATTATTATAAACGAATTTAAACTATAGGAATATTTAACGACTAAAGGTGGAATACCCTGACTAAAACTGCACACGTTAAATTTATTTATTTGTAGTGCATACAGATGTTCCAATTAATTTTCCATTCCAGTTGTATTGATTGAATTTGAGATATTTTTGGGTTCGTAATATTAAATTTTAAATATTTTACGTGATTTCAAATGTGTTTTCGGAAACTTGTGTTATTCAAGTTTGTATTTATAAGCTTTTGTAGACTCGAATCTTACATATCTTTTTATTAATATACTTATCTTGAACATTATTAATTTGCTAATAATTTCAATTCGTTATGAAAATAGGTGTCACAAATATTTAATGAAAATATGAACAAACAAATATTTGTGGAATGTAATATAGTAGAGCTTTGAACTCGAAATGTATATAATTGGGTTTGCTGGAAGCTTGTAATATTTTTCAGTTAATAACAATATCGTCAATAATATAATTCGCAAAGCAGCTTCATCAATCAATTTATCGATTAATTTATGTTTTAAACGAACAGGAATCTGCGCATACGCATGCTGCCGTAAAAGAACACTGAATACACGCTGTGCTTCGTTACACGTTGACCTAATTAGTTCACGAGCTTGAAAATGTTATCAGCATTGTTTTTTTAATGTTCCGTTCAAACATTGTTTTCATATTATGAAGAGCATTGAAATTTTTCTGTATAAAATATAAACGTGGTTCGAAAGAATTTATGTACAAGTACCTACACATTCTTATTTTTGAATAACAATTTTAAAATTAGCATTCACCTATAATGATCAAAATTATAGTGTCGAGTTTTAGTTTTTAAATTGGAAGACAATTTCCAGTTCTTTTAGTGTTATGTCCTCTTCTGTTAGTATTTTTATGGATATTTTTAATAAACTACTAAAAGCTAATTATGAGTTAGAACTATCGTATAATTGAAACTAATTCACTTCTATACTGAGAAGTCATCGAAATAGCGTTTAACGATCACTATTATACATTGAATTATCAAAGCACATTTAAAGAAAAATGAGAATACAAATAATGTAAATAGTAATATCAAAAAATCTCGCCTATTTGAAACATCAATAATAAATAATTCTTTTAATATAATCCTTATAATAATAGTACTACACATGATGTTACTAATAATTACTACTACCGTACAAACAATCTTCAATAAAATAATATAACAACAATACAAATCGATAAACAATTTACGTCGACGACACACATTCGCAGAAATCATACATTTATAATTAACAGCACTACAAATTCATTACGTTCGCACCTACAATCTATTTCTCCAAAATATTTATTGAACATTTGACCAGGTTCCGACACGTTTTTAATTCTGTTAGCAGTGCACTTAATTCCGCGGTTAACATGAAACATTCACGAACGAGAAGGCAATCAATTGCTTCTGCACACCTCAAGCTCCTCAATAAATGTACCCTCGCATTTTTCTGAGGAGCGAATGAAAAAAGAATTGAAAACTCGACAGCGGTTTCCCTCGCATTGAATGCTGGGATACGTGATCGCGATGACAACACAGGATACGTAAATTGGTTGCGATGAAAACTTACGAGCCTGCTATAGTAAATCCGGGTTAAAGGACTCGGCTTCTGTCTCCCGATAACACATGTACCATAACGTCGGTAATAAACTGTCGCTTTGCAAACCGGTAGCGTTGCATGTGGCCAGAAGCACACGTAAGTGAATTTTACGCAAAACATTTGTCTTGGCTTCTGGACACACTCCCGTGCGGAATTAAAAAATTACGTGGCGGAAAACGCACATAATACGGTGACATATTTCCCAGTGACATGTGTGCGTTCGCACACGGACGCGCATATCGTAGGGAAAAATTGTTCATAAAGTTGGATGTGAAGTTATGTTGTTCGTGAATCATTGTATTAAAACAGGAGACTCAAGTCATTCTGAGATAAAGTTTACGCGCTAAAAACGTGAAATGCTTTTTGTTGTATGTTATACTAAACAGATTGTTAAATTAAAGAAAGTTAAAAAATTAAAAAATTGTTTGTTGTATGTTATAATGTTATCCATTGTTTGGGTTGCTGGAAGTCAAAGTTGCTGTTTTATGTAGTTGTAATTCAAGTTGAAATTATTGTAGTTCACTTGTTAAGTGGTATATTTTTTATTTGTTTGTAATAATGAAAGAAGTTATTTACATACGTTGATTAGTTTGATTTTAGTTTGGTAAGTGTTTCGATTGCAGATGCTGTTTGATTAAATTTTATGTTTTCATTTTATACTTTAAATATTTTGTAGTTTTATTTCTTACTCAACTGGTTTTATATTTAAAAAAATGTAAATTTATATGAGTTTTAATTATGTTTAATCGTTTCAACTAATGAAGTAATGGAGTAGTAATTAGGATGCACGATATCGTTTTCGACTTCCATTATTGTAATTGAATTTGAACAATTTTGAATTTGGATTTACGTTACAATATATCACAAGATGAAATGCCTACTTTTCATCAATAAATTTTTCCTCGTAGAATAATTTTAATAATTATTTCATGGAAGAAATTACAGACGTTACTACCTGTCCTGCATTCAAAAACAATAAAAACACTACGACTTTATTATTTTACTACAATCTTTTTAGTATTACTCCACAATTGATATAATCACTAATTTTATAACATAACAGACATTTAGAGAATAACATACAATGTTATACGTTATTCTGATGAATAATTATTAATATAACGTAGAATTCCACATAATCAAAAATATCAGCATTGTAACATTAAATACAATATTACAACTCATTACTCTAATAATTATAATTCATTCCACGAATATAACAAATTCTTCATACTTCAAAATGCAAACGCAGACAATTTTTTGAACTTTCAGACAATTTGCAAAAATTCTTCAGAATTCATACTTCAAAATACAGATTTAGATAATTGTTTGAACTCTTAGTCAACTCACAGATATTCCTCACAATTCTTTGATCTCCTGTGCATGTTATAATATTTACGAACAGCAGTTTGGCTGCAGATACGAAGGAGTTAATGTAAAGGAAAGTCGTGAAAGCCTACGGATTACGGCTGATAAAACTTTTCAGTGGCGCAAGATTCGTTTCCCGTCTCCTAATAAACCGTACAGGACACGATTGGCCATAAACCGTGAACTCGTAACACAGGATCGAACGTCGCAAAGCGAGACCAACTACTCGAAGCGCGAAAACAAGCGTGCACAGCCGTTTCCATGCTCGTACACGCGTCCCTATTGCACAGCCAGCTAAGGGATACGTATCAAGGAATCCCGTTGGTATCTTAGTTGGCTTTATTTCCGTTATCTCTGCTACAGACTAAACCGGAATCGCTGTACCGACACATACTACCTGTTTACGATACTTCCCGCTGGAATGGGTTCTCAGAGTTCAGCGCGTTGTAACTTCTGCCGATCGGTTAAGGGAGAAAATATGATTTACAGTAGACTTACAGTATTGCTACACCGAGAATTTTTATGCATTTACGGGAAATTTGAATGTGGAAAATTTCACAGAATGGACGAAATATGAAAAAGTATTGGGTTGATGCAAAAGTTTTGACGCTCTTTTGTAAGAAATAAAAAGAAGAGTTCCGAACTGTACGCTAGCTAGACTAAAAGTATGTAAAAACGAAGAAAAATGTGTCCTTTATACATGTTATTATAATTCAGAAACAGACGTTATTTGTTTTGAAGGAAAAAGGGTTTTTGTTCACGACGTGCAAAAAATGTCAAAATATTTGCATCAATTTAGTATATGCGATATTAGTGTTATAATGTTCAGTAGGAAAAACCATTTTTTATCGTAATTCTGGTTTTTCAATTATATTCTTAAAATTTTGAATTTAAATGAAGAACATCTTTATCATTACATTTTTTATCAACCATCTATAACAATTGCAACTGTACCATTTCATATAAATTTTCAAAAACTTCAAAAACAAATTTTAATAATTAATGGAGATTAATTTGATCTTTTCAGGAGCGAAGAAAATAGAACTTTATCTGATTTGTTTTTATAATATAATATAGTTTCATTTTATATAAAACTTTAATAATTTTCGATCAACTATTAACAATCTAACATTACCAAAACGACATTGCTCAAATAATTAATTCAATAATTAATAAATAAAATTTTTCTAGAGCATCCGAAACACGCGAACAAATGAAACAGCCTTATTCTTCTTCGCCCGAATGTGTACTGCAAGTTTTCTATCTGTTCCCCTTTAAGCCTCGCTACTCTGTGATGTAAAAAGATACGCGAGAAACATGCTTAATCTCGAAATTTTCAGGCAAATACTAATAGGAATCGTATGTGAGTATAAAAACACGCGAACGTAATATAAAGGAAATCGCATTAAATTAATTAAAATGAACCTCATCGTCGCGACCAGGTAATCTATTGATCATTGACAGCGGACTACACGAAGGATGGAGTACTCCGATTCTACCAAAATTCGAGCAAGACGATCCATTGAGAGTATCCACCGACAAACTGGTCTGGGTGGTGAATTTAATGTACGTGGGCGTCGGACTCGGGTCTATCGTACCGTTTCTCTTGATGGACAGGATCGGCCGTAAAGGAACATTATTATTCGCCACGGTACCAAAGATTGCCAGTTGGATTTTGATCGGTTTAGCAGCTACCGTCCCTCAACTTTATGTGGGCCGAATATTGGCTGGGGTAGGCTGCGGCATTACGTACGCGGTGATGCCGATGTACCTCGGTGAAGTTAGCAGCAAACGGACAAGAGGTCCTTTAGGTATAATTCAATTTTTCTTTCGTTAAGTTCATTTTAATTGTTTATTAAGTTTTCATTTTTTTTAATCATTTTCAATGGGGTTGCATTTATTTTAAACTCCTGAGTGCTACAGATTTTTTAAATCTTGCACAGAAAATATTGGAAATCGTTATACTTTATTAAGAAAAGATCAGGAATATAATAAACGGGAATTTCCTTTACTTCATGTATTTGTAACAAGAGTTATTTAATATTTATGTAATATTATTAATATTGTTTATGTTATATATGTTATTATATATTATGTTTATCTTAATATTTTTATTATTCCATTGTGTTTAATTACTTTTTATTATTTTTATCTATTAACTATATTTATTAATTAGTATCATTAAATCATAACTGTTAAGTTATTTTTTTATTTTTCGTATATTTAATTAGAATTTATGAATTAATGACGAAGTAAGTTTCATCTTAGTTACATTATTATTAACTGTTTTTATTTTGATGGCAAATGACAGAAAAATTTTAAGACTGGTTAAGAATGAAGGTTTTACTGTTCATAATTTTCTAAAAGTTTTCAAACACCCGGAAAGAAACTTAGGAATTACCGTGAAGGGTTGACTGATTTATTAACTTAGTTTTACCGAAGTTACCGTTTACATCCTGCGTTGCATCATTTGTATCTTATCTTAAATTTTTATCAGTCCATTATTGTGTCTTTCACTTTAC